TACGACTCAGCCTCCTGCATTCCTGTGAAGGGAGATGCTTTTAACATTAATGAATATCCCAATTAAATCACCGGTGTTGATTTATGCCAATTAATGCAAACTACGTCGATTTATGCCAATTAATGCAACTACATTGATTTATGCTAGTGATGTAGCCGAAGGTTAAGCATTGACTCTTGAGCATTTAGACGATATAATTGAAATCTGTATCAGGTTCTGCAGAATAATTTTGATTTAAGCCTTGCTCACAAAGAAGCTGCCCTTTTGCAACCGGTTGCGTTGATGTTTCACAAGCATTTCCTGTTGCTTCCTCAGGAGGATAAAAAGAAGCGAGATCGAGATGCCGGTGAAAGCGAAGGAGAAAGGGAACTCAAATGCCAGTCTCCTTTAAGATTGGAAGTGCCGCTTGTAAAGTCGCTAGCAAGCAGTTTAGCAAAACAAGAAGGTAAAGGAAATGCTATTTTTCTTTCAAACCGTTATGCAGGTTTCTCCCAACCACCCATTTTTGTAGTAAAAAAAAAAATTCATAAAATAATGCTAATAAACCATAACTACTGATGCAAAAATTGCTAACATGCTAAATCCTAAATAAGCATTGTACCAACTACACTTTGTCGTTTTCTCGAAAGATGTTTCTGTGTCTTTTTTTTTTCCCCTGCCTAAAACCCCTTGGCAAATTCCTCAAAAATTAAATGGATGTTATTCTCCTGGAGGAAGACCCAGACTTTTTGCCAGTTTGCATAGCATTATGGAAAGATGAAACTCAGAATATCTTCACCGATGAGGAAACTTTGTTCAAATGATGAAGGATAAACAGACTTTTTAAATGTATCCTGTGTGTTGCTTTTTGTGTCACTTTTCACTCCTTTGTTTGTCACGATTTAATACCTTGTTACCATCAAAATATAGAGTTCCTTTCTCTTTTGCTTCCCTTTCTCTCTCTTTTTTTTTATCCTAGAAGTGGAGCAGACACCTCTTCAAGAAGCATTGAACCAGCTTGTAAGACAACTGCAGAGGTTAGCTGTTGCTGCGTTTTGTGTAGAAATGCTGTTGCTTATAAGAATTAGTAAGGACATTAATGCCTCGATAATATCAGTGGTCAAAGCTAAATCAAAGTCGCATAAAGTAAAGGTAAAGGTTCTCCTCGCACATATGTGCTAGTCGTTCCTGACTCTGGGGGGCAGTGCTTATCCCCTTTCAAAGCCGAAGAGCCAGCGCTGTCCAAAGACGTCTCTGTGGTCATGTGGCGCAGTGGTTAAATGCAGCACTGCAGGCTACTTCAGCTGACTGCACTTCTGCAGTTCGGCTGTTCAAATCTCACCGGCTCAGGGTTGACTC